ATGGAAAGTACAGCCAAAACAAGATAATAATTTCATAAGAAAAACTCACACAATGATACAAGTCAGAACAAATAATAGGCACTTCATTATGCTGAGTTTTTTTAACTGAAATGACAAACTGATTTACAAATTTACAGAAGCCATTCTGGTCGTCAACTATTTACTTGTCTAGAGAGAGGATGAATTAGCATACCACTGTGCAGAATTATCTAATATATTCTGGCTGTGTGTGTGTGTTTTCATTTATTATTGCATGGCCAATTTTTAATTATATACACACTTCAATTGAAGATATAGATAACTATGGATTGGGTTGACTGTTTGGGCTGGTCTCACTGGCTTGGTGTAGTTGGGATTTGGCTCTGCCTCTCTGGTTGTAATAAAGTACATTTTTAATGGTTCCAATTCTTAGGAGGGAAAGTTTTAATCACCTTTTTAGCTGGTTGGAGGATGTAAGGCAACAAGCAAATGCCAACATGACTATTATGCTTATTGGCAACAAGTGCGATCTTGCTCACAGAAGGGCCGTAAGCACAGAGGAAGGAGAGCAGTTTGCCAAGGAACACGGTTTAATATTCATGGAGGCATCTGCAAAAACTGCTCAGAATGTTGAGGAGGTGATGAATTTGCTAACAGATGTTTTAAAATGTTATCAACTGAAGCTTCTTTACTATTATATTTCTTTGTTTTCCACTTATCAAAAAGAAAAATTATATTTCTTTTTTTCTTTCTGACACTCTTCCCCCTCTCTCCTTTTTCTTTTGCTTTTGCAGGCATTTATAAACACAGCTTCAACAATCTATAAGAAAATTCAGGATGGAGTTTTAGACGTATCAAACGAGGTATGCCTTGGATTTATTTTCTCTCTTTTTCTGCTGGTATTTGGATAGTTCAATGTGAGGTGGGCCAAAAAAGGTTTAATTGATTAAGGTGTTTCAGTGGTAATTCAATCTTGAAGTCTTGAACATATATATTCATGAGGCCTTGGAATGTATGATCATAGCATAAATTAGCAACTGCCTAAGATGAATCACATTGAGGTTCACCTATTAAAACCATAACTTCTGGTTACCCTTTTCTCCTTATCTAGTTTTAGTGAGACAAATATTTCAGTTGTTAAGTGGCATCCACTGTAATGCTAAGAGAGGACATGGGTGAAACCATTGTCTCATAAACTGTCCTGTTTTTGAACACGAAAAGTTCAGTTTCGGATTACTAGTCTAGTTGCATGGGAGATGTGAGTAATTTTGGCAACATAAAGTGAAACTTTTGTCCTGTTAGTTACTTAGTGAAAAGCTATTTTGATTGGTTGTGATAGGTAGGATTTGCAGTGCTTGTGCTTAAAAATTATGCCTTTTTTTTTTTTTTTTTTTTGTTTTAGATTTTGCAGTCTGACGGGATAAAAGTTGGATATGGGGGCATCCCAGGGCCAGCAGGAGGTAGATATGGGTCTGCTTCTCAAGCAGGGGGTTGTTGCAGTTGAAAGTGGAACTCATTTTCTAAATCAATCACCTTTTTAAGCTTTCTTTACTTGTGCTACTTCAGGCTTTTATGATATTCTCTGTCCTTTGAAGCGAATCATCAGTTTATTTTTTGATTGTTGAAATTTATCAAATATGTGGGAAAAAAAAAAAAAAAAAAAACCATATTAATTAATAGAAATTACTAATTGTTCAATCTGTGTGTTTCTTCCACGGGGATTCTTGATGACTTATTGTATAATTCAATGGTTAAATGTTGCATTTGTGTGGGAAGTTTTTTAAGTTGGAATCTGTAGTCCTACCCACCCACCCTTGCGGCCTTTCAGATGTCTCCCACTGGCTGGCACTGAGGTTTAAATGTATTTTAATTTTATGATATGAAAGGATGGGTAGAAAGGCAAGCTAGAAAGTATGGGAATAGGAGTATCGCGAGAGAAAGGTGTACTTGCCTTCTTTTTGAAATGGAGGATTTTTCGTTGCTTTATTTCTCGTAGGAAGTACCATACCCCGATGGATCATCCGTTAGATGGATTTTTTCGCTACTTTATTTCCCTCCACAAATCAAATCTCAACCCCTTGGACTCCGCTAACCTTATTCAGTGAGTGAGTGAATCAATGCACTTGCAAATTAGGGATGGACTTTTTTTCGGCTTTCTTTTCGACAGTGTTGAACTTTTTAAAAAACTATTCCACCAGCAAACATATGCAAACTCTCTATTGCATTAATTTTATATTAGATTAAGTGTAAAAAAAAAAAAAAAAAAAGAGGAGGAGCTTGAACTTTTTTTTATTGTATTGGGTGTGGGGGTAGGGGTGGTGGTCGCGGCGGCTATGGTGGTGGAGCCGTCACCAACAGTTGTTGTGGCACTGATGTGGCGACCGGGAGCCCTCAGAAAAAGGGCATAATAGGAAGGAATTGTAAATTAGGATTTTAAAATTTATTTTATTTTAATTTTGACTAAAAAGTGGTCAAAGAATTTTTGAATTTTATAAACTAAAATGTACATTTTAAAAAAAGAAGAATTATTTGTGCACAAAAGCTATATTTTAGAAGAAAAAAAATTTGTACTTAACCTTTTTATATTTTATTGCATTCAAATTAAATCCTGTACATAGGATTTATATTCAACCCATATAATTTTTAAAAGATAAAATATACTCCTATATGAATGAATCAGGGTTGAATTTTGGATATCTTTCAAAGAATATCCATCCAATTCTTTATTTTGATTTTGAATTCAAAATTAAAATCCAAACTTTTTTTAAAAGTGAATTACAAATTAAATTTAGTGTTGAGTTAAACCTGCTCTATCTTATAGCGATATTATTTAGAGTGATTTTAAAGATATTTAAACTCTCATCCCGCAAGATGTGAAAGTACAAAATTACTATAACATTATTTCAATAAGTGTTTTTTTTTTTTTTTTTTTGTGTAAAATTGGACAAAATTGTTGTTAATTTCCATGATAATGAGTCTACACACTTAACACACTCCAAGTCCAAGCTAATGAATGGATATAAAAATTAAGAATTGAAATTTTACAAAAATAAGGGAATATTTAATTGTATTTCTTTCCAACGTCAATAAAATAAATAAAAGTTAGAGCCATAGGCCTCCAAAATATTGCAGAAGCACGACAAATTAGGACTATGACCCAAAATATATAAAAAAATTGTAACATATATTATTATATAGACCTATAGATAATAAGAGCATTAAGAAGTAATGATTATATATAAATCGTTAATAAATGATCTACCAAATTGTGATTTCTCACTCATTACTAATAATAATAATTTAATGTTGGAACCCCTCTCTATGATTATTCCTTTTTGGGATATTCTTTAGCAGTGATTTCAAATATATTCAAGCTCCCATCCCGATTACAAATTTACTACAATGTTATTTTAATAAAAATAAAAAAAGATTTGTAAAATTGTTATTAATTTCCATGATTATGAGTCTACTAACACTTGACACTCCAAGCTAATGAATGGATATAAAAATTAAGAATTGAAATTTTACAAAAATAAGTGAGTATTCAATTGTATTTCTTTCCAACGTCAATAAATAAATAAAAGTTACAGCCATAGGCCTCCAAACTTTTGTGAAACCACAATGCCCCTCAAGGTCTGTGGACCGTCCAAAGTCCAAACCAATGGTGGACCTACTTGGACCAATGGTCCTCCAAAATTTTGCAGAACCACGACAAATTAGGCCTCTGACCGAAAATATATATGAAAAAAAAAAAAAAACTGTAACATATATTATACTATATAATAGACCTATAGCTTAATCAGAGCATTAAGAAGTAATGATAGCATGACATTGTGCTCACTTTTTCCACACATTATTTAAGTGATTTATTGACATTTATTGTTTAATAGTCTAGGTTGTACTATAATTTATATTTAAGCGGTTATCAATGGTCTATGAGATTGTGATTACTCATTACTAGTAATAATAATTTAATGTTGGACCCCACCTCTCTATGATTACTCCTTCTTGGGATACTGTTAATTATTATGCATTTCTCTTTCATTCTTTATACTATTTTTTTAATCAATATTAAATTGAAATCTGATAGGTCTTCTCAGACACCCATATCACATCATTTCACCTCTTCTTCACTTATTTGTCACTTAATGGCCTCTTCACAATTATTGTTGTTGTTAATTCTTCAGAGAAATGTTACTCTGTGTGTGGATCTCACAGCAATTATCATAAGCTCTCCTTTAAATTAATAATACCAGTATATTTTACATAACAATAATATTTCGTAATAATAATGGACAATATTAAAGTGATTTTCCTATTATTTTCAAATATCATAAAATAAACTTATAAAACAATCAAGATAGTAGTTTAGTTTGAATAAATGAATAAGAATGTAAAAACTTCCTTAGTTTGTAATTAAGAGAGAATATAATTTTATGATTTTTAGTTCTTTGAAAATAATTTATTTTTATAATAATAACAAACCAAGCAAACCTTAAAAGCTTGACAAATTTTTTTAATTTAATATAATTGATTTTTAGTACTAAATTTTTTCAGTATAATCCTCATGAAATTTTCTATTAAATAGTTACACGATGGTCTTAGTATTTTTTCATGATTATTATGAAAAAACAAAGCTCATGACAACTATTATAATGTCTACCTCACAATAGTATTACTCTTTTAATTTATATACTTATATTTATAAAAAGTAAAAAAAATACAAATAAAATACGGAGTAACGGTCTCAAAGTTGTCTGTCACAAAAGATTTCACGAGTAGCATGTGAGTATAGTACTATGACCGCGAAATGAGATCCACTAATTAACGTCCAAGTGGACCCCAATTTTCAAGTAAACAAATCTATTCACGGTCCTACCCCCAAAATACCCCATCCTCACATGAACTGTTTCAGTCAGGTTCGTCCCGTAATTTTCTCGGAAGCTCGGGGTCGATCAATTGCCTCACGTGAATAGTATCTGGATCTCTGCACATTCACGTACTTTATAAAGTCACAAAATAAATAAACTTGGTCAGTCACTCTGTCTCTCTCCCCCGAAAGAGAAGATCTCTCTGAAGAGTGAAGGCGGCAACAATGGCAGCGATCGGAGCTTTGAAGGTCACTCACAATTCTGTCACTCTCTCCGGCGAGACTACCGGCCGTCATGCGACTCCGTTTCGGAGCCTCTCCTTTGCGTCATCCCATCTATCCGGCGACAAGATCTCGTCGAATGAGGCGTTCGTGGTACGACCTCGTTCCGGAGGTAGAACTCCGGCGATCGTTTCTCCGAAGGCCGTTTCTGATTCAAGGAATTCGCAGACGTGTCTAGATCCCGACGCCAGCCGAGTAAGCTTCTTCTTCTTTTAGTGGCATATATATACACAAAAACAGAAATGATTATTGCAGGCTCGTCCGTATATACATATATATGGAAACATAATCTTATAGTAGTTTTTAGTTTACATTCAGAGCGAAATTGAAATCAGAATTTGATTCTAATTGATCTGAGTAGACTAAACAGGATTGTAACAGAGTTTAAAACTGTTACTTCAATTGAAATTGAATTGATTGTGCAGTTCCAGATCCAGGATTTTCTCTTTCACTCTGATGAAGCGATTTACATTGCCTTTGGGTTGGGCATTTCCACTGTTTTCTTTATAGTTTATGGATTTTAAGAACCAAACCAGCCGAGAAAAAAATAAGATTTTGCGATTAAAATTTGTTGTTAGTACATGGGAATAAGTGTGCCATTGGTTGATTATGGAGCAGTATATTATGTGTTTTGAATATAAACTTCGTTAGCCCATCTCGGTGATTAAACCTTTTGTATGTGCATTGTAGTCATGCTCCATATGATTGCCAAGAAGACATGGGAAAAGATAAGATGTTAAAATGGAACCCTTTTTAGTAAGATTCTAACATTTGTGTTTGTTTTCCTTTGAATTTGAATTTTGGACATAAAACTTGATGCTCTGTTTGATTTTGCACAGAAGTCATAAGAGAAGTCATAGACCACTTGGTATCTTATTGGAAATAGCTTTCCATAAAAAAATCCCATCTTATTTTGGTAATTGTTAATCTAAGAGCCAATGGGTATGGTTTAGTTTTCACTAAAATAATAATAGTAAAAATTTAAAAAGATAATCTGTGGCTAAATCTTCTTGTAGGGGGTCCTGCTCTCCATGGTTTTAATAATTATCAATAACTAATTATTATGTCATAATTTAATAGGCTTTTTAGATGCTTACATTTAATTAAAATCAAATATGTCGGCTAGAGGATCCATGACTTTATATTTTCTCAAGTTTTATTAGGAAAGCTCAGAAAATATACACATACGCACATGCATGGACACAGATCACTTTCTTTGAAGTGTAATATGCTCGCATTTTACTCTTGTTGGATTTCAAGAACTTGACTAGATATTTGTGTAATTTTTTAGAGTGTTTTGGGAATTATACTTGGAGGTGGAGCTGGGACCCGCCTTTACCCTCTTACCAAGAAAAGGGCAAAACCAGCTGTCCCTTTAGGAGCAAATTATCGACTGATTGATATTCCTGTTAGCAATTGCTTGAATAGCAACATATCAAAGATCTATGTTCTTACTCAGTTCAATTCTGCATCTCTTAATCGCCACCTTTCTCGGGCATATGCAAGTAACATGGGTGGTTACAAGAATGAAGGGTTTGTTGAAGTTCTAGCTGCTCAGCAAAGTCCAGAGAACCCCAATTGGTTCCAGGTAGTTACATAATTAAACCTTGCATTCTTATTCTGTCAATTATTTATTTTTATTTTTTAATTCTTTCTAGCCCATATAAAGTTGACAATCATTGCTATATTATTAATGATGTGATGATGACATTTCTATGAGAAATTCCTTCTTTTGTGTGTTAAGATTGACATAATGCATTTTGTTTATCTTTGTTACATTTTAAACACCTGTCATTTATTTGGATTTGGCAACATCAATCATGCTTCGCCATTTAACTTTTTGAAAGAAAACATTTTAGGAATTAGATTTGAGATCCTTTTTACTTCTTAATCTTTTTCAACTCCTTGGACTTATTTTACCCCTTTCATTATTATAGTGCTTACTATATATGTAACACATGTAATAAATAGCTCTTTATTGCTTTTGTTTGTGGAAGATTTCCCAAAATTAGACCTAAATTATTTTAACCTAAAACCAAATTGTTGGTTATATAGATCCCCACTAAACTGAACTAATTTAAATCACAATGCATCAACACCTATTTAATGGGTATATCAATGGGTATATCGAAGATATTGCATGAAAAAAAAATGACAGTACATCTCCAGGGTAGCCATCAGCTCTTGGCTATGAGCAACATCTGCCCCCAATTTCTTTTCATTAATAGGTGATTTTGTTAGGTTACCTTAAATGGGCACTAAAAAGTGAATAGTGGTCATAACTCCAGCCATTATTCTGTCTTAATTGATGATTCAATAAAAAATTACATCTTCATAAATATTTTTCTGGTCAAAACCTTTCACAGCCTGTGGTCCTGATGTATTCATCTTAGTTTTGGTTTCAGATTCACCCTTCCATTTAATGTCAATCATAGTTTTGGTTTTAAATTCACTCTTGTTTTGTTGCCAATTATTTCAACAAAGCGTTAGATTTCAACTACACGGCCCTGTTCCCTATTTGGAGAATGTTATAGGTTATTACTGAAACCAGAAGCTTCATGTGTAAAGATATATATTTGAGATGACATTCTTTGTATTTCCAGCTGTTAAGATTTAGATGAGCGAGAATTATATCAATTCAATTACAACAAATTTTCACTTCTGAAATGGGAATAGTTTGATAGAAGCAGGATCTCTCTCACTAGCACAAAAAACTTTGTTTAATACCTTACTGATCGTATTTATCTGGCTTGCTTGGAGTCTGTTATGAAGTTCAGTTTAATTGGTTTTTAGGGTACCGCGGATGCTGTGCGGCAGTATTTGTGGTTGTTTGAGGAGCACAACATTCTAGAATTCTTAGTTCTTGCTGGGGATCATTTGTACCGTATGGATTATGAAAGATTCATTCAGGCCCATAGAGAAACTGATGCTGATATCACTGTAGCTGCACTGCCAATGGATGAGAAACGTGCCACTGCATTTGGTCTGATGAAGATTGATGACGAAGGGCGCATAATTGAATTTGCAGAGAAACCAAAAGGAGAGCAATTGAAAGCTATGAAGGTAAATATAAAATATTGGGTGACTTTTTTGTCTTTGTTCTATAAGTTTTGTGAAGCTGTTTTTTTCGTGGCAAGTTTGAGATGCTATGATTTCTATTTCGAAAATTTTGAGATTAGATTATGGCTTGATTTCTTGCTTTGTCATATTCTAGGTTGATACTACGGTTTTAGGTCTTGATGATGAGAGAGCAAAGGAGATGCCATATATCGCAAGTATGGGTATATACGTTGTCAGCAAAGATGTGATGTTAAATCTGCTTCGAGATAAGTTTCCTGGAGCCAACGATTTTGGAAGTGAAGTTATTCCAGGGGCAACTTCCATTGGAATGAGAGTATGTATTTCTCTAATTTGTTTTTCTCCATAAATACTTGTGAAGCATTTGCATTATGTATGACCTGTATGAAGGGGCAGTGACATGAATTCCTGGGCTTATGCAACACACATTTAGAGGACGTATCATCGGTGGTGTAGTCCTATAGTATTGTGTAACTGCAAACCTGTAAGGTTGCATTGGATTGATGGGTTTGGAAGGGTCAGTTTTGGATTTGATTACTCGAGTTCAAAATATATTACAGAAGGCTTTTATAGGTGCTTTGGATTTCAATGAGATCCATTTGCAGATTTAGAGCCTTATATCAATGAATTTTGAAATTACAATATGAAGATTTTCTTTTGTAACCTCTCCCACAAAGGATTTCAATTGGATTTATCTCTCTAACTACTCTATTTTCTCTCAAAGTTCTTTCAATCTAATTCTAGCATTTATTTTTCCAGATTTCAGAATTACTTCTGGAGTTAGGTTGGATATTTTAATATCTTGAAATTTGTGACTTTAGCTAATCATAGTTTTATAGCTCCAAGATGCCAAACTCTGGTGACATAAATAGATCTATTGGACTGAAGTCTATAAGTCTAATAAAGTGGTAGTTTCTGGAAGTCATGAAAATAGTTCGTCTGCATACTTCTCCAGAACCTCAATTCCCAAAAGTTTAATTGATCTCACATTTCTATAGGTGCAAGCTTACTTGTATGATGGCTACTGGGAAGACATTGGTACGATTGAGGCTTTCTATAATGCAAATTTGGGAATCACAAAAAAGCCAGTGCCAGATTTCAGGTAGTTATCCATGTCCTTTTTCATCCTTTATAACTCTATTGTGTTATAATATTCGTGCCAGCAGCTTTTTTAGTATTAAATTGTTCACATTTTTATACTTCTGTTGTAGCTTCTATGATCGTTCATCCCCAATTTACACCCAGCCTCGATATTTGCCCCCTTCCAAGATGCTTGATGCTGACGTAACAGATAGTGTTATCGGTGAGGGTTGTGTAATTAAGGTAAGTAACTTCTGGTTGTGAATACGGTTAACTTGGTTAGGTTCTCTAGTTATTTGTTACGTGCTCAAGCTGAATAATATGTACTAGTCTTTTTGCCATTCGTCAAGATCCTTCACTCTTTTTTATTGTACAGAACTGTAAAATTCACCATTCCGTGGTTGGGTTACGATCTTGCATATCAGAGGGTGCAATTATAGAAGATTCGTTGTTGATGGGAGCAGATTATTACGAGGTAATATTCACACTGATAATTACGTAGTTCTTTCTATTGAAGTTCGAATGAATTGTTATACTTGGCATATTTGCATAGACTCTTCTAAATTTGGTGAGTATTTAAGTCGAATACGTATCACATGTTTGGCATGGGTTGTATGATACGCACGTATAAATATGTAAACTTATTTGATTAGATATGCAACCAACATGTCTACTAATTCAAATTTACTATATGGTTGTGCATAAAACTTTCTTGTTTTCTTTGTTGCACATTTGCCTCAAAATGAGTGAAGTACTCTGGCAGAACATTGCATGTTACATGAAAACACATTTTCACCAAGTAAATAACAGAAGAATGTTAAATGTTTTGAATATTTAGCCTTTTTACCATAATATTGGAATTGGGTCAGATAAGTCTGATGTGTAGAGACATATACATGCCCAACATATGCATCAACTATCAAGTCATTGAAACATATTTGGCCTGAAAATGGTGTGCTATAAATGTTTTGGATTGAGTCTGCTGAATTGATGAATTTTTTTTTTTGTCTGTTTGTAATTCTCATAATTTCTATATGCCATTTTCTTTGTCCCAGACGGATGCTGACAGGAGGTTTTTAGCTGCAAAGGGTAGCGTTCCCATTGGTATTGGCATGAACTCTCACATCAAGAGAGCAATAATTGACAAGAATGCTCGCATAGGGGAAAATGTGAAGGTTGTGTATCACAATTTCTCTTCTCCTCTTCATGGATTTCATTTTCTGGGATTACAAAGTAGTTATGATTGCCAATTATTATTTTGGATGAAATCCTTTAAGGTCAAGTTTATCATTTTGATCATGAAATTTGGAGTTGTCATTTCTTGAATTTCCTAAATAGATCTGTACGTGCAAAGATGCCTTGAAGAATGAAAAAACAAATGGAAAGAGGAAAAAAAGACCTATTTCTATTCCTATGTTTCTTTACATGCATATAGGCTCATAGCATGCAATTTCATGTTACTGACTGATGTCGAATTGATTTCTTGATCCCTGAAACGCCATACATTTTGAAAGATTGAGCCTTTAACGTGTGATTTTGTCATTTCAGATCATTAATGGTGACAATGTTCAAGAAGCAGCAAGAGAAACAGATGGATACTTCATAAAGAGTGGGATTGTCACAGTGATCAAGGACGCCTTGATTCCCAGTGGAACTGTCATCTAGAACTTCCTTACGTTAGCTTATGCCATATCATGGTATTCCACGGCTTCTTTGCTCGGTAGGTGATCGAACAAAAGCCTACCTTCTGTCTGCCAATCAATATATATGGTCGATCATGTATATTTTCAGGTAATAAATTGCACTTAGTTGAAGATAGGGGACTTTTAGCATTTTACGTTGTAGAGACCTGTTTCTGAGCAAATAAAAAGTTCAACTATATGGATGTCCCCGTGTTTCTCCCATCAATTTTAGCATATTTCAAGCTTTGTTAAAAGCAAATCTGATGTTTGTTGGTTGGGCTTTGTGATGATAAGCAGATTAAAGACCCGACACTGAATTGAATGAGAGCAATTTTTTTTTTTTTTTGTCCCTAAGAATGAGAGCAACTGCTTAGCTACTCACTTAAATCTTTGCCTCATAAATTAAAGGATTCTTTCTTGAAAAATTTGGAAGGTTCGATGACCTAATTGACTCATCCATCCAAGGTCAACGGGACCGAACAAAACACATAGATACAACAATAAACAATTACACAAATAAAAAAATTTACGTACTCGGGTTAACGGAAGCTAACAAAACACGTATATCCAACAATAAACAATCACACAAATACAAAGATTTAAGTACTTCGTCTAAAATTTGGGCTATATTCCTAAAATTTGGGCTATATCAACGAAAGAGAATATCAAATACCCTACAAACTCCGGTTTTACTGCTCTCTCTATCAAATTCGTGAACTCTTTATATCCATCAATTCTTTAAATTCCACAATGCGAAATAGTGTTGGGCACAGTGGAAGCAAAATAAGAAATAAAATAATCACACAACAAACGCAAGATATACATTGTTTGACCAAAACCGGTTTACGTAGGGATATTACAACGATAGAGAATATAAGAAGATATTCATTATATATGTAGAAGTATTACAACGATAGAGAATATAAGAAGATATTCATTATATATGTAGAGGTATTCATTATAGAGAATTTCTAACACTAAACCATGCACACAAATTCTTGACCGAGTTCTCTGTATACTCCCACGAGACTCTCTCTCGCCATCAGTGGTCACTCTACCCTGTGGTAATTCACCTCTACTTATCAACTCCATCCCTTACGAGGTTACATGTCTCTTATTCTCACAAGTCTCAACTCATAACCTAAATATTTATTTATAGAGTTCCAAACTCAATTCCTTGTTAGACAATGATTACTTGCTTAACAAGAAATTTCCTTACAAAATAATATAACTCTAAAATATAAATCTAATTAGAATAAAAATTTGACACAAAATTTCCAACAATCCTCACCTTTACTCAAATTCCATCCAGCCAATTATCGTTTTCCATGGCATTGATCAGGACAATTCTATTGTGCCTTCAATCTCGACGATACTCCTGCAAAACTCTCATTGTTCCCATAATACGTTGCTCGATCATTCAAACCTTCAAGGCTCCACCTTGACCATTCGAGCTCCATGCTATGTAAGCAAGCCGATTGACACCACCCGTAACTAAAACCCGTTGCAGCAACTGTTGAAACTCCTTGTGTTTTTTTGGATCTTCTGAAATCTGGCTCCATAATGTTTGGTTGGTGTATTTGGAAAGAATAAATGGAAGGTAATAAGATGATCATAAATTTATGAATAAAAAAATGATCTTAAAGCACACTAACCTTTCAGTTCCAGCTTAAAGAAGATTTTTCGATCGAGTCCATTCTGCTTTTGTGGAGAACACCTTATTTGTCTGTAGCTACTTTTCTTTTTGGAGATTCTATAGTCTTGTTCAACCTCACAGTTTCTGACCCTGCCTGACTATTTTTGAAAAAATAAAGGACTAGAAAATTTAACAAAGGAAAAAGTCAGCTTTTATTGTTACAGACTTCTTCATTTTCCTAATTATTTTTTTTTTTCTTTCCATATTTTAAAATATTCACAAACTAAATATCATATGGAGGAACTTTCTCTTCCTTCATAAGGAATTCTTCTAATAATTTCGGCGTCTGATCTTTTCAAAAGAACATGTACAGTACTTTTGTGTTTACGATCTAAAGTTCTAGCACAAGAAAGCTGAATATATACTTCATTCAATACAATCCCTTATTTATGATAATGAGAAATATTTATACATTTACACCAAATCAGGAAATAGTATAAATTTGGGAATTAAATACATAGTTTATTGTATTAAATAAAAATGGGAAACTAAATATATATTTAACAATAGGCATATATGTAGGTTACAAAACCCTCTCTCGCCACTGCCCCAAGTACCACCTCATCAACCACTGGTGCCACCATCTCCTTCCACCACCCTCTCCTCTCTCTCTTTCCATGGTCACCGCGGTCACCACAGCCATTGCTGCCTTAGCAAAATCCCCAATAATCTCTCTCGTTCTACCACCATGGCCACTATCTCAATGTATAACTAAATAAAAACTTTTGGATGCTTAGAATATCATAAATAACAACCTCCCCGAATCCAATGTTGAATGACAAGTCTAATTCAACCCTTTGAACTCCCCTTACTATAATAACCTTAATCCATCATTGAAATCATGAGGATAATGCCCAAAGAAATTAAAACAAATTCTAAACCATAGAATACCCCCTAACCAAGTCTTGAACTTAAGACCCCTTGTGAAATGGGTTACGTATTGGACCATCTCCTACAATGCGTTCGATACTCTTCTTCCGCTATAAATAATTCTCATCATTTCTACAGCTTGCTTCTTTCTTTTCATTCTGGAATTTATATCTATTAAACATAATAACTGTTGAAAAATAAACTTGATTTTAGCATTTAGTATTTTCAAGTATTTTTATATCCATGATGCATATGTGAATTTAGCACATATGTTAGTGGGTAGTAAATTGTCATAGTGGGAGTTAAAGTTATGTAAAATCAAAAGTCATGAGAGTTACAACTAGTAATGGTCATTTTAGTGGATTAGTGGAAGTTATGCCTATTGAAGAATATGTTAGTGGGAGAAATGCGAGTTATGAACATTTAAATGTAATGGTTATACATACATATGTAAGGCCTATATAATCACGTATTCTAGTCATTTTAGAATAAGAATAAGTTAGATATAAGTGAAATAATATATTTCTTCTTCTATTTCTCTTTCAAATTATATAGATCGTTGCATTTGTTTGTATAACCCACTATTTTCAATAAAGTGGTATCAGAGCAAAGTCAGAAAGTGATATTAGAGAAAAAGCCAACAAATAACTATATTTAATCATACTTAAATAATATAAAATCGAATTTTGAAATTTTTGTTTGGTGAATTACATGCTTTATGTGCCTATGAAGTATTGGATTGCATGCTTATATGGACTATGTGATGGTTACCCCTTTTTACATAATCTTCATGTTTAAAATGCCATGATTGATAAGTTTGTTGCATGAGAATTGTTGTGTTAATTTATTTCCTAAAGCATGCAATTATGGTTATGGTTTGATATTGGAAATTTCATATTGACATGTATTGTAATGCATGTATCATTCATGCATTGACATTGGGTAAGAAAAGGGAAATTGATTTTTGAAAAGAAAAGAAATTGCTTTGGGAAAAAGCTTTGGAAAGATGTTTGCGAAAACCGGACGATAAGGAATTGCCTTGTATCTGTGGCGTTAATAGGACTTAGAGGGAACTAAGGAGACTGCTCTAACGTGGTTGAGCTACCTAGGCCCCCAAATGACGCTAAGGAAATGCCTTAGGTTAGGAATAGTTAGTCAATCCTCCTTAGGTCAGGGATAGTTAGTCAACCCTTCTTTCGTACGGTTTGATAGTTGTTGTGATTGAAAACGGTTTTGGAAATGGGAAACGACATTAATATCGCATTGGCATTGTATTTTGAATATTGTTGGATTTGTATGATTATGTCACCTTTCCCAAATAAGCATGATCCCCTTCACTATTTTCTATTATTTGTTTAGATTCACGGGATCATTAAGGAGTGCGTTTTGGGCACTTCCTACTGAGTCGTTCTACACCCCTTTATTATCATTTTCAGATCATGGCAAAAAAGTAATTGATGATGGACCCCTACAAGCCTAGTTAGGGTTAATTAGTGCATTTTGTAAACTTTTGTAATTCAATACTTAAGCTCTAGTATTTTTTTGTAAAGCATTATAATTGTGGCATTATGAGCCCTAACTTATAACCATATTCTTTTGTAAAGCATTGTAATTGTGGCATTATGAGCCCTAACTTGTAACCATATTCTTTTGGTATTATTTTGATGTAAATTTAAGTGTTATAATGGCCATTAAAGCAAACATGAACCATGTTACTACTTTGGAATGAATTAAATGGAAATGAACCATTTTAATGCTTATGTTGATGTTTATGGCTATGGGGATGGTTATTCTATAATTGTTGTGAGTTGGGACAGATTTGGCATTGTAACGACCCTAAAATGATACATGTTATAAAATTTTAAAAAAAAATCGACATGACCTCTGCTAAAAAGGGTTCTACAACAACCTGCTTAAATACATACAAATACAATGGCCTCTCTTGGACCTTCAAAACTTATCTAACATGTCCCAACACACTGCAAATAATACATTTCAACATTCCTTTCATCCATTCATTATGCATCAACATAGTTCATCTCATGGTGAAACGACCACATACCATTTAATCCAAATATTATAATTACAGTCCAATATATATATATATATATATATATGGTTAAAATCAAAAGTCCATATCTTACAACGTTTAGATAACTTTTATTAAAGTTACAGCCTATGAATATAATTACAATAACAAGAGTCCATAAGTCTCAGTACATAATACAATATGCTAAGGTTTTTTTTTTTTTTAAAGACTTAGGTACAAAAACAACAAAATGATTTTCTAATCCGTACTAGGCCTGTGGTGGAAAGTCATCTGCCACTTCTTTTCCGTGACCTGAAAAATGTTAAATATAAGGGGTGAGCATATTGCTCAGTAGATGGTGTCTAAGACACACATTTTGTGATCCCGTGAATCCAAATAATGAATAGAAATATAGAAAACGGGATCGTGCTATGCCGGGAGAAAATACAACAAATTATAAGGCCAAAATGGACAATGTGATGCTATGTAATGCTATGCTATGCTATGTCGCTTCACATTTTCAAAATCACTTCCTGTAATGACCCTAAAATGATATCAAATAAAAAAAAAAAAAAAAAAAAAAAGGCATTACCTCTGCTAAAAAGGGT